CAGCCCAGTGGCGGTTGGCACCATTGCAAGGCCGCTATGGTATTGTGTGTAGGCTTGAATTGAAATTTCTCCAACATACTTCTCTTGGGCTTTTATGAGGATGTCATGAAGCCTTCCCCTCCATATGGCTTCATTTAATGGATGAATCACCTTGATCTTCCCGTAATTGTCTCTTTTAAACCTCCAACTTAATCCAATTGTTGATCCAAATCATCCTACAACGTGTTTGACCTTGGAGTGCACAAAATAATAGCAAAAAAGCCTAAAATGATATTAAAAACACATCCTAGGTATATTATGGGCACATTAATTGCATGGTTATGATTTTCACTTAAAATATAATAAAATATAATAAAGATGCATTGATAAATGTGAAAAATGTGACCCTAATTGAAACATACAATACAAATATCATTACTAACCGCAACTTGGATATGAGCCTACAACAACCCATATCCAAGTCTGAACAAAACGACCCTGAACCCTAAACTCTGAACCCTAAACCCTCCACTTCCCTGTGATAGGATGTGCGTTCCACCCTTATGCTCCTCCAGTGTTTCCTACAATTAACAAAAAAATTCAACTTTTCACTCCCATTGTACTTAGGGAATTATAGTTGGGCTAGTTTGGGCCTAAATAACCCTCTCCTCTCCTCTCCTAGACTGAACCCACTCGGCCCTTCTCTTTCATGAAGCCCAGCAACTTTTTTCTCCCTAGATAATCAAGGCCATTTCTTCCACTAATCCAGGAGTCAACCCATTTCTTCCACCTAGCATCGGCCATGGCCCTAGCTCTAGTCTCACGCTCCGGTCAGCCCTACGCTAAAGCGCATGGGCCACTTACCAATTATCTTTAGTTCTCTCTTCCACTTACTCTTCTAAACGAAAGTTCCGCAACAAGATGCACACCAGAAGACAATTTTTTTTTTTTTTTTGTGAAAACTACAAATACGTGCAATAGTAAAGCTAGCAATTTAAGAGGCATTTTAGTATGCTATATAGTACCCATGCTTTAATATACTTAGAGCCATTAGATCTTGTTATAAAATATCAGCCATTGGATTGAAATTATTTAATTATTATTATTTTCACTTGTGGACTGGTAACCTGTTGCACCGGTTCATTACACAATCATTTTAAAAAAAATTGAAATCCAGGCGATCGAGCTCTGCATCAAAACAGAAACCCTTCACTGCATCAAAAAAAAAAAAGGCGATCGAGCTCGTCGAAATTCAGAGCTTCTCTTCCGAGGTGGAATTTCAGAGCGTCTCTTCCGCGGCGACGGCGAACCTGCATTTGAAATAGTGCGACGGCGACGGCGAACCTGCATCTAGGGCGACAGCGACGTTGTGAGAAGAAAGAAATTGGGGGGAACCCTTTCGCGATTGTGAACTGTGCTCTTCCGCGGTGGGTCTCTTCGTCGATATTGAAGGGCTTGAGCATCGGCGACGGAAACGGTGAGATTGTGCGGTGGGTCTGATCGTTTTTCAACTTTCCTCTCCTGGGATTGTGTTTTGCGGTGGGTCTGATCGTTTTTCAACTTTCCTCTCCTGGGATTGTGTTTCGCGGTGGGTCTGTTCGTAGATAGTAAAGGGGGTGAGCAGTGGCGACGACAAAGAGGACTTGAATTCTGAAGGTGGCAGAGACTCTTTTACTGGAGGAAGACTCAGAAGGAATCAAAGACTCGAAAAGCCCAATCGACAACGACGAGTCAACTAGCGCCGGGTAGGAGAACTCCTGCAATAGCGAGAATTGGGTGATAAAGCATTCGATTTCCGATTTGAAACGACGACTCAGTCATTCATTCGATGTAAGTGGCTGAAATTCTTATCTCCCTTTGATAAACATTCAATTTCTAGCTTCTAGAGCATTTGTTGGAGCAGCTTCGAGTACAATAATGGTGTCTTTGAATGTCTTACTTATTTCTCTGGAAATGTCAAGTTGTCTACTAAGGATCGGTTGCCAAATCATAGGATTGAAATTCCATGCTCGTTTTACCAAATTGAACTATGGAAGTAGAAGAGAGAATTTCTCAATTCTGTGTAACCATTTGGGATTGAAATTGAAGCTTCTCCACTGCTTTCTTCATGTGCATTCTCAATTGGATATGGTGATATAAGATGCAATATTCCTTTCCCTCTCTCGGTTTTATCAGTTGTGTGAAGTGGGAATTCTGATGTGCTCCATCTTTTCCAGTGTCTTCTTCTGTGATTTGGTTTGTCTATCTCTTTAGCTTTAACGTCTTGTGCAATGAGTATTGAAGCTCTCTCAAGTGTAGTTCTTGATTGTGCTGTATTTTGTCACGACCGAGTTTGATTGAGATGGGGGCATCTTTAGTCATTCCGTGATTGATGAAGCTTCAGAAAGTCTGCACTTTTTTGTGCAAATAGTTGTGGCCATCCACCATATAACTTCATTCCTCACACAGATCGTTGATGTGACCTAGGAGGTATTTGTGAATGGAGGATTCAGTGTCAACTAGGAAGCTGTCTTGGTTTATATAATCCCATAAACTGTGCTGGGGTTGTTCATTTCGTTGTTGCCTTTGCTTTCAAACTGAAGAGAATAACTGTGCTGGGGTTGTTCTGCTTGCTTCTTTAGTTCTTTGGTCTTGATTGGGTTTTATGGATGTAAGGAATGGGTTTTTGATTGGAGAGACTTGATTTGTGTTTTATGGAGGCAAATCGAATAGGAAAGTTCATACTCAGTTTGATTATTTTCAGTTTGTAGTGTCGTTACCGTTGCTTGTTGATTACATTTTGGACTGTTAATTGAAGGGTCTTGCTTGGCTGCATGAAAGGTGCAATTGAGTGTGTTAGTCAAGAACTATTTCATGAAATCAGGGTGACTTCAGTTTTAGCCAGTTTGGATGGAAATAGAGCGAGTGTTTATGGTGGTGTCATGGGTTATGGAAAGCTTAGTGGCTATGCTCGTGGTCATGTTATTTAGCTCTCAAAAGTTGTAAGTTGTGTGTGGTTTCTGGAAATATCACGGCTGTGAGAGAGACCGTGGATGTAATTCTGGAAATATCACGGCTGTGAGATAGGCCGTGAGAGAGACCGTGTATGTAAAAACACACTTCTCAGTTTCCCAGAGGTTTTCACGGGTTGCCTTCGACAGTGTCACGGCCGTGAGATGAGCCGTGTTTTTGGATATGGATGATGGGCATCTCACGGCCCCTTTGTAAATTCTCACGGGCCCCTTTGTAAATTCTCACGGGCCCCTTTGTAAATTATCACGGGCCCCTTTGTAAATTATCACGGGCCCCTTTGTAAATTCTCACGGGCCCCTTTGTAAATTCTCACGGCCCCTTTGTAAATTATCACGGGCCCCTTTGTAAATTCTCACGGCCCCTTTGTAAATTCTCACGGCCGTGAGAATAAGCCGTGTGATTGTCTGGAGATATGCAAACTTCTCTTTGCTTCTCACGGGTCATGTCACGGCCGTGAGATTTTGCATTTTGGGTGAAATTTAATGAAAGCTGGGTGTTTTCATGGTTAATTAGTGTACTCAGGTGTTGATGTAGGGGGTTTTCAGTTCTTCTGGTAGTTAGAACTTGTATTTTGTTTGTACTCTTCGGCATGCTTATAATTCGTGTTTCAAGGCATGCTTATAATTTTTCTGTTGTTTTAATTTTGCAGTTTGCTAAAATTGTTCTATAATGAAGACGAAGAGGCATCAAATTTTCAGCACGCGATGTTCTCCTAGGAAAGTATTCTCAGTAGTCTCAAATTTAGAGGCTTGTCAATCAGAGGCCATTAGGAGATGTGGCTTTGGTCGTATTCTTGATGTCAAAGCAAGAAAGCTACAACGTGAGTTGTTGGAGAAACTTGTGAAGAGCTTTAATCTGGAAGAAAGCACAATTAAGGCGTATGGGTTGGAAGTGCATATTTCGGCCAAAGATTTCGAGCGAATTATGGGTGTGCCTGAGGGAGGTACTGATATCATCTTGAATGGTGAAGAAGTGGAGGGAAGATCAGAGGAACTGGAACCATTTAGAGTGTTTTCGACACGTGAATGTGGCCGACAGGCGATTTCCACAAGCTTAATGAAGAAGGAGTTGTCGAAGATGAAAGATAGCGACGATCTATTTCTTCAAATGTTTATTTTGTACGTAATGGGGGTGCTATTAGTACCAACTAGAAGAGAGGACATTTCCTTGTCTTCGGTATACGCTGTCACCGATGTTGCAGACATTCCGAAGAAGAATTGGGCATCCTTTTGCTTCAATGAATTGGTCAAATGCATCTGCGACCATAATGCTTCTAAAAGAGAGTATATACCGGGTTGCTTGCTGTTTTTGGAGGTAAATAATTGTTAATCCCGACTTTCTACATATTTGTAATGATTAATCATCATGTTGATTATAGTATTTTTTTTTTGTAGTTAATATTCTTGGAGCATGCAAATGGTATTTTCCAAACCGTTGATGGGAGTTTGGATTTGATGAGTTGGGGGAGTGGAGACGTGGAGTTATTGTTAACAAAAGTGGTAAGATTGATAGTATATTTGATTCTTTTGACAAGTTGGAGCATGCTAATGGTACATTTGGTTCCCTTTTTAATTAATTTATAGGTTTCCAGCAGTTCGGGGAAAAGATCAGCTGAGGATGCCGGTTTGAAATCACCTCCAAGGAAACGGGGAGAAGTAGATGGGAAACGGCACAAACCCGACGGGGATGAGCTACTTCTCTATGAGCGTATTGATGCTCGGTTTAGTACCATGGAGGGTAGAATTGACAACTTTGGTCAAGAATTTAGAGTGGCAATGGGTGATGCTGCTTCTAGAGATAATGAGCTAATGAGCCGGGTTGTGAAAATGGAGAACGAATTTCGGGCTTTTAGAGACGAAATCGGTACTGCAGTGAAGTCCCTTATAGAGGCAGTGAAAGCAACTGTAGGTGATCCGTTGTCAAGGGAGCAGCCTAGGGAACCCATTTCTCCTACAGCTGAGTTGAAAAAGAACGATCAGAAGGGTGAGGTTGAAAAACCTAGGGAACCCATTTCTCCTACCTTGGAATGTGTCAAGACTGCCAAAGTTGAGAATTCGGGAGAAGCTGAGGGGGAAATTGGAGATGAGAGATGTTCTGAATCTCCTTCTGTGAAAGTTGTGAAAAAGTCTCCTTGCAAGCAGCCTAAAGCGTCGCAAGTTGAGAAATTCATATTGTTGAGTGATGAAAGTGTTGCTGCTAATGATGGTTGTTCCAAGGCTGTGAAGGTATTTCACTTGATTAATTTTTCTAATTATTGGTTCTTATGGTGTGGTTACTAATGAACTGGTTTTGTTTTTTTATGTTTTTGAACAAGAAAGGGGCGAAAGGGAGGTGCACTACGTAGTGTGTCTAAATTGAAGCCTAGTTTGTATGTGCTCTCTCCATTCGAACGGGCAAATCCCAGAGCTAAGAAAGCACAACCTTTGTACCGTGCTCCTCCCTTTGTTGTTGAGACACCATTGACTCTGGAGGCAGTAAAGATGCTTCAATTTGCTTTTAGTAGTGAGTTTCCCGAAAGGTACCTCCCGAAATCATTACAAGTAAAATTGGATCATATTTGTAGGATGTTTTTGGTATTTGCTTATTCTAATGTTGTGTTGTTTGAACTTGGTATTGTATAACAGTGACACATTGGTTAGTGTTGGTGGCGGGGTTCTTTCCTTGTCACGTGAAGATTTTGTCGAGCTTTTGCCAAGGACCAAAATTTCAACAAGGGTAAGTTCATTTATGTGTGTAATTTAGTAGATTGAACGTGTATTGCTGACTTTGGTATATGTGATGATGATGCATTAGATTATAGAAATGGCGTGTCTGTGCAAGACACTAGAAGAACGGAGTTGTGGTCGCACTGGTGGCTTGTCTTGGTTCTTTCCACCTTCAGTTTCGGTACAGTTGTCTGCTTTGTCTATTCTTGTCATGAAATTAATCTATTTTTTGTTGCATGTAGCTTGTGTGGGTGACTGTGTTTTATTTTTCTAGGAGCGTGCGAGTCATTGCAACGAGGAGCAATTTATGGCTAAGATGCGTTCATATAAGATACATGAGCGATACTGTATTGGTGAGCTACTTTACTGCAGTAAGGTATGTTGTAATGTTGTTTTCTAAAAGGAAATGGCTTCACCCTCCTATGTTAAATTGATAATTATTGTTTGTTTGTCCATTATTTCAGATTCATGTCCCAATTTTCAACCTCACGTTGAAGCACTTCTATCTGGCGGTCTTTAACATGGAAGCCAAAGAAATCGAAATTTGGGACTCATTACGAGGAACTCATAATGAAGAATATGATGCAAGGATGCAGAAACTGGTTTGCTTCTTGTTCTTCAAGTTTTCAAGCTTTACTTATTGCTTAGTTGTTAGTTGTTTTTCATTTGCCGACTTTGTCGTTATATATCGATGAGGTGGATGTTTTCATTTGCAGAAATTGGGTCTAGATTGGTTGCTTAAGGATGATATCTGTGGGGCGTTTTCATTTGTGGACTTCGTGGTTAGATATCGCCAGGATGTTGCTTGCCAACCAAATGGGTACCCTTTGTTGTTGTTCAATCGTGCACTGTTCTAATTAAGTTCGATAATTATTTGTTCGCATCATGACCATGATAATTATTTGTTATATTACAGATTTGATTGTGGACTATTTGTCAGCAATTACTTGCTGGATCCAGATCGATATTCCAAGAAGCTTGACCAGTTCCATAGTGACTATGAGCGGGCACAACTTACAATGTACTTGCTCACTACGGATCTGAATGAGGTGAAAGCTACAGTTAAGACACAATCCGATGAATATTTTGAGAGACATGCAAGACCTGCCCAAATTGAGACCGAGAAGGTGAATTTCAAGACAAACTTACTCAATCGAGGAAGAAAGCCGTTGCATGCGCATGGGGAGAAAAAGGGTAGAAAGTCTAAGAAGCATTGAGACTTGTGATGTTAATGTAGAGTTTAGTTAATGTGGATGTTGATTGACATTTAGGATAATGTAGATGTTGAATGAATTTTAGTGAATGTAGATGTTGAATGAAGTTTAGGAAACTGTTGAAATTACAATGAAGTAATGAATGAAGCATTATTCAGTGATGTTATTTTTTCTCTATATTATGTTTAATGTGTCGACAAGGGAAAAATTATGCATGATCATATACCGAAAAATGGTTGAAAATGGACCTGAAAGCAGGCGTGTTTTTGGATTTGTAATTCTGGAAATATCACGGCTGTGAGATAGGCCGTGAGAGAGGCCGTGAGATTTTTCCATACAAAGGTGGAGTTCCAGACAGTTTCACGGGTTGTCTGAGACAGTATCACGGCCGTGAGATGAGCCGTGTTTTGGATATGAATGATGGACATCTCACGGCCACTATGTAAATTCTCATGGGCGTGAGACTCGGCCGTGAGATGGGATTTTATAACGGCTTAATGATGGTAATTTTACGCCCGTGAGACTGGGCCTTGAGATTCAAAAAACCTGAATCTCACGGTCTTGAAAGGACCATCTCACACCCGTGAGATTCCAGACAGTTTCACGGGTTGCCTTCGACAGTATAACGGCCGTGAGATGAGCCGTGTTTTGGATATGTATGATGGATATCTCACGGCCACTTTGTAAATTCTCATGGGCGTGAGACTTGGCCTTGAGATTCAAAAAATCATTCCCTATTATCGGTTTTGGGTTGAACCCCATGTAATTGTGAACCGATGTGAGATTGAGGTTATGTATATGGTTGAATGAGCGTTTGATTATCGGTTTTGGGTTGAACCCCATGTTATTGTGAACCGATGTGAGATTGAGGTTATGTATATGGTTTAGCGAGCGTGTGATTATCGGTTTTGGGTTGAACCCCATGTAATTGTGAACCGATGTGAGATTGAGGTTATCTATATGGTTTAGTGAGCGTTTTATTATCGGTTTTGGGTTGAACCCCATGTAATTGTGAACCGATGTGAGATTGAGGTTATGTATATGGTTTAGTGAGCGTTTTATTATCGGTTTTGGGTTGAACCCCATGTAATTGTGAACCGATGTGAGATTGAGGTTATGTATATGGTTGAATGAGCGTTTTATTATCGGTTTTGGGTTGAACCCCATGTAATTGTGAACCGATGTGAGATTGAGGTTATGTATATGGTTTAGCGAGCGTGTGATTATCGGTTTTGGGTTGAACCCCATGTAATTGTGAACCGATGTGAGATTGAGGTTATGTATATGGTTTAGTGAGCGTGTGATTATCGGTTTTGGGTTGAACCCCATGTAATTGTGAACCGATGTGAGATTGAGGTTATGTACATGGTTGAATGAGCGTGTGATTATCGGTTTTGGGTTGAACCCCATGTAATTGTGAACCGATGTGAGATTGAGGTTATGTACATGGTTGAATGAGCGTGTGATTATCGGTTTTGGGTTGAACCCCATGTAATTGTGAACCGATGTGAGATTGAGGTTATGTATATGGTTGAATGAGCGTTTGATTATCGGTGTTGGGTTGAACCCCATGTAATTGTGAACCGATGTGAGATTGATGTTATGTATATGGTTGAGTGAGCGTTTGATTATCGGATTTGGGTTGAACCCCATGTAATTGTGAACCGATGTGAGATTGAGGTTAAGTATATGGTTGAATGAGCGTGTGATTATCGGTTTTGGGTGTAATTGTGAACCGATGTGAGATTGAGGTTATCTATATGGTTTAGTGAGCGTTTTATTATCGGTTTTGGGTAGAACCCCATGTAATTGTGAACCGATGTGAGATTGAGGTTATGTATATGGTTGAATGAGCGTGTGATTATCGGTTTTGGGTGTAATTGTGAACCGATGTGAGATTGAGGTTATCTATATGGTTTAGTGAGCGTTTTATTATCGGTTTTGGGTAGAACCCCATGTAATTGTGAACCGATGTGAGATTGAGGTTATGTATATGGTTGAATGAGCGTGTGATTATCGGTTTTGGGTTGAACCCCATGTAATTGTGAACCGATGTAGATTGAGGTAATTGATATATGGGTTGATTTTCGTTTGATTATGGTTTTGGGTTAACCCATCTAATTATAACCGATGATTTTTTTGGGTTGGTCATAATGAAGAAATTCCTAGATCCTAAACCCTCACCGTCGTAAGTCAGTCGTAACAGTGATGCCGTTTCTTCCTTCTCGTCCTCCGTCGGCGCCAGAGGACTGATCCTCGGTTCCTCCCTGTCGGCTTCTTCCTTCCAGCTTCCCTCTCTCCCAGCCTCAGATCTTCCTTCGTCTTCCCTTCTCTACCCATCCTTCGCGACGAAACCAGATTCTTCCTTCGTCGGTTCCTCCCTGTCGGATTATTCGCCCATCCTTCGCCACCCATCCTTCGCGACGGAAGAGGCTTAATCTAGCAATCTTCCTTCGTCGTTTGTTGCTGACCTTCCACCGCCACCGCCAATCATCTCCGTTCAGCTCCCTGACTACGCTCCCTGCCTTATTGTTTCAGGTACCCGCCGGCTCCCTCTTCTTTCATCTCGGATGATTAATTCTTCTGTTCTGTTTCGGTTCTGCTCCGTTTGTGATTGTGGCGCTGTCGTTGTCCAATGGCGTTCTGGAGGCCGTGGATCTTGGCGCGCCTCTGTTTGTTTATCACCGTTTCTCGAGCTTGCGGATAGCGGTTTCCAGGCTCATTTAGTTTTTCGTTCATCCGGTTGAGGGAATTAGCTATGGTTTTGTGTTCCTCGTTTGATTTCTGTCCAGTAATCCGTCCGTCTACGATCTTGTTCATTCTGGGTTTCCAGGTGAAATGAGATTGCCCCTGGGTTATTTCGTTCATTCTGTTTGGGGGGACTTGATATTGTGTTTGTCTATTCGATCATGGTGGCTTGATTGGTGTCTTGTGAGGGTGATTGGGGGGTTTCAGAGAGAAAACTACTGTTTCCTGTAGGGAATTTGTTCATAGTTTTGTTCTTTCTGGTCGTTTGTCGCGGAAGTGAAGGGGAAACTATCGAGTTGATATGTGGATTACAGTTACCAGCCAGCCCTTCATTTCAATTGTCTCGTGTTTGCCTCGTGTTTGTTAATTGATTAGTGAAGTGTTCGATTTGGTTGGCTGTGGGTGGTGAATATGTCGATTTCAATTGTCTCTAAACTTCATTTTGTTGCTTGTTTTCAGTTGATCAACTATGGAAGGGTTGATGGATGATATGAGCACAGGCAAGGACACGGGAAATGACTTGAATGTTGGTTTAGATTGGGGAATGAATTATGGAGATGATACCGGTGGTGTTAGAGATAGTGACGATATGAAGGACAATGTCGACACCAGCGATAGTGATTCTGAGGATGATAATAACACTAACATTGGTGATGATGATAAAGAGAACATCTCAGATGAGCATTTGCACAGCTTCGAAACACAGCCACACAGCTCAGAGAACATCAAAGATGCTGCAAATCCAGCCATGGTTCCACCGTACTCGAGTATGTATGACTGGACTTTGCTTGATAAAGTCGGGAATGGTAAGCCTTATTCTAAATGGGAGTCGGAGGATGTTGTGGGTTA